TATAAATAAAATAGGGAGAGAGAAAATACAAATAAAAATAATCGAGTGGCTGTATTAAGTGCCTTGAAGGAGACAAACTGGGTGCTACCATCCAATTAGATGGTAAGGACATCCTAAGATAAGATGGCGGCGCTTATGGGAGGTGATCATAGAAATGGTGCCTGACTTGGAATCAGGATGATGAACAGCGAGGTAGTGAACTTATGAATTGTGTTCACTTACTGTTCATTAGTATACTCACGTTCAATTATGACAGTAGGAAGTCCAAAAAAAAAAAAAATCTACCAAAGAAAAATAACATGAGAAAAACTGAATAAAAGTCATCACGAGCCTGGAAACACGGCTTCCTCCTCCCACCACAACCGTTCTTTCCAACCCCAAGCACTAATGCAGAGACACAATTTAGTTAAGATTAGGGGGTGGCCACAGAAGCAAAGAAAAATCCTGGATTTTATTGTTCTTCTTGTTTTTAAGTCACTTCTATAGACAACAAACATGGCCAATAATAAAGTTATTATTTACTGATTACTGGCTATGCTGTACATATATTATGTATAGTGTTTCATTCAATTGTCACACAAATCCCAGAAGACAAAAATTATTACCTCCATTCTACAGCTACGTAAACTGAGGTAGCGCATGAGTACCTTGCCCAAGACCACACAGCTGTGCAGGAGTCAGGCTTCTACTCCACAGCGAGACTCCTGAGCCTGTAATTTTTAAGTACTGTGCTGGCAGGCAAAATGAAGGGAAGAATGGAAATGATTATCTTCTCTGGCTCCCTTTATTCATCTGATCACGTTCCTCCTGACTGTGTGTTGTGCTCAATTACTTAATTGCAGTATAAAAATATACACTGGATTGGTGACACTACTTGTAAATGCCAGCGGAATCTGAAGAGAAAATGGTGGGCGGGACTTCATCAGCTTCCATTTAAATGCCCAGCTCACTCAGCTGTACTTGTCTTCTAATGCCGACTCGCTTGGCTGTACTTGTCTTCTAATACTGACTCGCTTATTCCATAGCTCATCTCTTTCTTTTTACAGAACTCTGCATTTCATGGAGGTGCTTGACTTGCAACTCCAGTTTTCACTTGACCCCAACACCCAGCATAAAAGATAAAGCTGAGATCTTAAAGCCATTCTTCCAATTAATATTTCAATCATGCTTGCAAACAGCCTTTAATGTCTGGGCAACAAACATCCTTTTTCATAAGACAATCGTATGTGGAATGGCTTCCGTTGGATCTCTGTACTGGAAACATTCATAGGCATTAAAATCCAGCCTATATTAACTGAATGGTTAAAGAACGACAGAACAGTGTCTGCAGTATTTTATAATTAATTTCATTACCTACTATCAATGGAATGACAAATAAACCCATGTAGACATCTGTAGCTTCCTATTACCACAACTACACGCAATTACCCAAAATACAATCCAGTTTATTCCACCCAGGGTGTCTCAGATCAGTTCAAATTCATGATAACATTAGGAAGGCCTGATTAATGCCCTTGGATCTAACGAGGTTGCAGAGAGGAAATACAAAGAAGTAAACATTATTGCTCTGCTTTCTTGTATACATATTGTAAGGTCCCATTAAGTAAAGTTCTTCTGAGCACCACCTAGGACCACTCTAGGCCTGACAAGGAACCGAGGGTGAACTTATGCATAGTTGGTCTTGGCAAGCACCCCCACTCCAGGTGCTGCTACTGCAGGGTCACACTGACCCAGGAAGCAGCAGATAAAGGCCCTAACTGAGCACTGGGTGGTCTAACTTCCTAGAGATGGGTCAAAAAGACCCACCAAATGTTCCATGCATGCTTATCCCAAGGCACCTAACTCTCCTGCTGTTGTCAGTCATGCACAGTCTCCCAACATAGCTTGATTACCCTATAAAAGAAAACTCCTCCCACCCAGCAGGAGGACTGAGACACCTCTAGCTTCAGACCCCTGCAGTCTTTCTCTTAACAAAGGGTCCTTTTCTCTGGAGATTATGCCTCCTGAGTCTTACTCCAGATGTGACATATATCAGACCAGGATTTTCCTTTGACCAGTTTTTTCTGACCACTACCATATTCTCAACACATGATAACCTCATAAAGATAGAAATCATATTTGTCTTGGGATCAGCAGATGGCATAATGGTTGCATTGTTGGACTTCCACATGGCTGATCATGGTCTGAGTCTTGGACCTGGCAGCTTACAACGCACACTGGGAGCATGTACATGTGTGCCCAAGATCCTGAGAGAAGATTGGAGGAGTAGGGATGGAGGTGATTTCTCACTTTCTGTCTCTCTGTCTTTCCAGCTAGTGCATGTGACCAATAGCAAAAATCTCTCTCTAAAAAAAAAAGAAATCATATTTATCTCATTAACAATTCCCAGCTCTCATCACTTAGGGTATTTTAAGATCTGGAGGACCAGCAGATGGTGTAATAACTATGTCACTGGACTCCCATGTAGTCAACCATGGTTTGAGTACTGGACTCAGTGACTTGAAGGTCATGCTGGGCTCATGTGCCGGCGTGTCCAAAATCCTAAGAGGAGAATGGATTGGGAGAATGGAGAAGGGATTGTGGCTTGAAACTCACGCCAGGCCCATGTGTATGGATGCCCAAAATCCCAAGAGTAGAATGGAGGAGAGGGGATTGCAGCATGGCCATTCACCATGGGGAGTGATTTTCACTTTTTATCTTTCTGGCAAGTTCACGCACCATAGCAAAAATCTCTCTCACTCAAGAAAAGGAGATAATCTACTAGAGCTGCAGATGGCATGGTGATTAGTGGTGTTAAATTCCCACAGAGCTGCTGTGGTTTGAGTCCTGGACCTAGTGGCTTGCTTTTTCACTCCCCATGCCCCACTTTGTCCCTCTCTGGTCAAATTTAAAAATAAATAAATAAGTAAAGTTAAATGAAATAATTCTTTACCAAAAGATAGGTCTAGGTATCTCATATTTATTTTTACATGGCTTACCAGTTTTCTTGGCATTGTAGCAAGACTGAATATTTTACACCAGTAGAGCAATACCTCCTCATTAAAACATGTCTGACTTGTTGAATGGTTTGGAGTAATCTGTAATAGTCTCGCACAAACACTCTGGTGTTTTTCACAGGTATAAGTAGGTAAATAGGTTGATATGCCACCAAGTGATCATGTCTTTGCATGCGTAGCATGAACTTTGTGTTCCATAAAAAATAGGTCAACATTGATGAATAATTTATTCACGTCTTTGCTTAGCTTTCCTCTTCGTAGTCAGTTTTTTTCCTAAATGTTCCTTCAGACGGTCTGCTTTTGTTCTTTAATTTAAGGTAGCCCCCAGTCTTTCCCTCACAACTTCCTGCATTATTACAAACAAAACACTTCTCAGTAATATCTTTTGTTTAGTTGTTTATTCGCTTTTTTTCTAGTTTGACAAAAAGTCTGTAGCCTCATCAGGTAAGGACTTATATTTTACCAACCATTCCCACTACTGAAAAAAAATGTTTCACACATAATAGGTATACAATAAATGTTTGTCACATGATAAGAGTGGGTAAATCAATAAGTGACAGTGAATATCTCCAAATACATATATAAATACATTCATCCATTCAATAAATATCCTTATTACTAGTCACTGTTAAATATTGATTATAATCAGGCATATTATGGTAAAGGGAAAGAATGCCTTTATTCTAGTGGATCTGGGTTGAAGGGGAAGGACCTTCCCCCCATGAATTTTATTGAGGCTGGAACCTTTTTTGGTTGTCAAAACTGGGCACTGGCATCTACTCAGAGAGCAAGGATGCTGATGCTAAGCATCCAACATTGTACAGCATAGTCGCTCCTCAAAAAAAAAGAGTATTGAACCAGTAGTTGGCGTAATGACTGTCACTGAACTCCTGTGTAGCCAACTGCGGTTCGAGTCCCAGACCCGGTGGCTTAAACTCACACAGGGTGCATGTGCATGCATGCCCAAGATCCTGAGAGGAGAATAGAGGAGAAGGGTTTGTGGTGTGGCCATCCACCCCTGGGAGGTGATTTATCGCTTTCTATCCCTCTGTCTTTCCCTGTCTTTCTGGCGAGTGCACACACCCTGTAGCAAAAACCTTTCCAAAAAAACAAAATTATTCACTCCAAATTCAAATAATGCCAGTGCTTTATACTGTTCTCTACTTATCATGCAAATTTAACACATTTATTAGAAAACTACTACATGCTAATACCAAGCTGAATTCCTGTGTTTAAAAAGACATGCGATAGACAAGTTGACAGATGAATAGATGCATAGACGGTTGGCTGGAAGCACCGAAGGATAGAGAGGTGGATGAATAAATGAACGAGTGCTTTAGAGATAGACAGATGCACACAGAAATGGAAAGAGCCCGTTCCAGCACTCTGTGTAGGGCTAAAACTACATGTGATGGCTAATCTCAGGAAATTTGTACTCTTGCTATTATCTAATCATGTGTCTCCAGAATTTATTTTATTTAGTAACAAAAGGTTGGGATGTTCCAAAAGATAAACACATGCATTGTGGGAGGATTGCATAGTAATTTTGTATCAATTGTTAATATTGGTGAAGAAAATGTCTGTAAGTCAAAACTGATCACAAATTTTTAGGAAAATGCCTAAAAATGAGACACATATGATAATGTCTTTTTCAAATGAAATGTATATGTCTCGTTCCTATAGATGAGAATTACTGTGTTAAGTAAGAGCTGTATTAACTATCTAGATGAAATGGTTCTATATGTGATGAGGTAGAAAACTGAAAACCAGACAAACGGTTTGAGCAGAGGTTGTTAGAAAACCACCGGATCCCCTAAAACTAAGGCTTATACTTGGATACCACACAACAAAGAAAAATATTTTGCTTCCTTTGAAGAGATGCTGCATTTTACACAGCATAATCCAGAAATTAGATTAGATATGGCAAAGGCAGGATTTCTAGAAAGAGAGGTAGTTTTCCTCATATCTTCCTAATTTCTATCGCAGCATGGAGGTATCCAGAGAGCTTGATTTGACAACACATTTACTAAAATTAGAATGCTACAGAGACAATTACTATAGCCTGTGTACAAAGATGACATAAATTCATAAAGGCTTTCATATTTTTCAGTGGATGACATATTCAAAGGGCTGAATAAAAAAGAGTCTACTAGTCAACAAAGAATTCTATGTCCAACAAAACTTTCCTTTAAAAATTAAAGAAAAATTAAAACACTCCCAGATAAGAGAAAACTGAGAAAATATGCTGGTAGTAGACCTACCTTACAAGAAATATTAAAGATTAAAATGATTAAACTGAGATAAAAGGACACTAGATGTTAACCTGGATCTACACAAAGAAATGAAGAGCATTAGTAAATAAAAATACAAAAGAGAGTATAAATGTATATTTTAAACTCTTCCTATCTGACTAAAAGATGGGTGCATAAAACAACAATTATAAGACCATGTGTTTAAATTGTATAAAGGTGTGATTTGTATGACAATAACAGCAAGGGAAGGTGAGAATAGCAGGAATATATTGAAGCAAAGTTTCTGCATACTATTAAAATTAATATTAATAGGATCTAGATTATTGTAGTATGCTAATTATAACCCCTAGAGTATCCACTAAAGAAATAATTTGTAAAATACAGTAAAGAAGAAAAATGCTAAAGAAATAAAATAATACACTAGGAAATATTTATTTAACAAAAAATAAGGTAGTAATTAAAAAATAGAAAATTAAAAACATAGATGTGGGATCAGCAGATGGCTGGATTTCCTATGCATGGATTTCAAAATTGTTTGTATCATAATAAAATTATCCTTTTGGACTAGCATGTGGTGTGGTGGTTAAGACACTGGACTCCCTTATGGCTGACCTCGGTTTGAGTCCCGGATCTGGCAGCTTGAAAATCACACTGGGCATGTACATGTGTATCTATGTGTGCCCAAAATTCCCGGAGGAGAATGGAGAAAAAGAAATTGTGGTGTGACCATCCCTTGGGGGTGATGTCTCACCTTCCCTCAGACTGTTGCTTTCTGTCTCTCTTCTGCAGGAGTATGTGCCCTATGGCAAAAACCTAAAAATTTAAATTAAATTAAATTAAGTTGATCAATTTAGAAAATTTTAAATAAATAAACATGCTCTTTTAATTTCATTTTCACACAAATTTTTTGAAGTCACACCATACTGCATAGTTACTAGAGAGATTACATTTCATGAAATAGTTACAGGGTTTCTGGATCTGAGCACTACTAAAATTTCAGACGGCATAATTCCTTGTGGGGAGTATCCTGGAGGAGAATTCAGGCATCACTGACTTCTAACCGTGAGAAAACCATAAGCAGTGCCTATCATAGATGTCTTCAGACATGGCTAGATGCCCCCAGGGGGGCAAATTACTCTAGTTAAGAACTGCTGATTTAGAGAATATGATACCATTAATCATAAATCCTATAGCCAACAGTTTTAATGTGTGTATGTGTGTGCGTGTGTGTCTGTGTGTTGATAGGAGCACTTAAAATTAGTTAACTCCTAAGATCAGGAAAGACAAGTTACTTCTCTTCTATTAGCTATAGGAGAAGAATATTTATTAAACTAACCACCCAAACAGCAACGAGAAATTTCTCCAGTTTATCTCTTTATCCTTCATCGAACTCCTTCTCAAAGAAAAAGTGATTTAGTGGATTCTAATCAAGGTGATGGCTCATAGTGGTGGAAACTTCTGACCAGCCTCTGTGCTCATTCAAGAATACTTGCCTTTTGGGACCAGCAATTAGTGCAATGGCTATGTTGCTGGACTCCCATGTAGTCGACCGCTGTTCGAGACGTGGTGACTTAAAACTCATGCTGGGCATGTGTGCGTGCGTGCCCAAGATCCCAAAAGGAGAATGGAGTAGAAGGGGGTAGGGCTGTGGCTAACCCCCTGGGGGGTGATTTCTCACTTTCTGTCTTTCTGTCTCCCTCTGTCTGGCGCGCACATGCATCCTATAGCAAAAACCTCTCAAAACAAAACAAAAACAAAAACAAAAACCTTGGCTTTAAAGGCGTTCAGGCTATCTTTCTTAGATCCTGCTCAATTTAGTAAAATTAGCAGAGCACTTCTAAATTCAACTTTAGCAATGGTAAAAAAAAATGTTCCCACATTTTAATTCTTATCTAAATTATTCTGTAGTTCCTCATCTATGTCAGCATCAAAATTTTCTGAAAAACTCTTTCAGAATCTGCTATTCTTTCGGGGTCTGTTGCCATTGCTAGCATTAAACTAAATGTCCTCAGTCTATTTAAAAATTTTAAAGCCTGTATTATATTGTTAAATTGTATCTGGGCTATGACTTAGTAAAGCTATTACCTATGACCTCATCTGAAGAACCATGCTTCCAAAATACGGAGAGAATCACATAGGACCCGTGTAGACCTCTCTTCATTTCATTTTATTGTTTGGATAGCAGAACCCTAATTTTATTCCAATGTAACCATAGTTAGTAGTTTAAAAAGAAAAATGTGCCCCAATGTGAAAAAAAGGACCTATATTTCCATTCAATGGTTTTATATACTCGGTATGAAAAAAACTGCTTGCCAAGTAAAGGCATTAACACATTTTCAAGTGACTTCCCAAGTGCGACTTTTTCCCTTGGCTCAGCATTTCATTTTTAGAGCGTCTATTAATCAAGTCTAAGCAGCCTTTAAATCCCCAGTCCTTGCATCATGGCACCTCACTACGCTGCCCAGTCTCTCATTGTTCCTGTACTATCATCCCTTGCCTCCATTGTTTTAACTCAGCCTCTCGTTTTGTTCCTTCAGTCATCCCAACTCTATCATTCTTTGAGAACAGCAGCCATCAGTTTCTAAAGCCACAGAACAAGGACTAATGTTTACACTTTCAAAGGGGATTCACAGAATAATAAAGACCATTTAAGAAATGCCAGGAAAAATTGATTACTCCAGAATTCAGAACAACCAGTCCAGATGTAGAAGAACGACACCATTGATTTCCTTGGACTGGTAGAGGAAAAAAAAGGAAAAAGATGACTAAATTTATCTTTGTCATTTACTGAATTGGAATATTAAAACAAGTGGAACTTAAGAATTAAATATTTAAACTAATCAAAAAGAGGGAGAGAGACCAGCAATAGAAAATAACTCCCTCCATAATTAAATAGTTTAAAAAGCCAAGAGTATATAAAAAGGTTTTTTTAAAAAAAAGTACAGTAGTAAAAGGAACCAGATACTTTCTCCATTGAGAAATAATATGATCTAAAACAAAACCAAGCCACACTTTACTCTTTCGAAAGCAAAGATAGAAAGCCAGATAGTTGGTTATTCTTTTTCTCTGTCCTTATCCTTAAGAGCAACTGCTAAATTGCTAAGGATTTAGAGGCAAAATCTCATTAATCTATTTGTCTCAGATAGCTGTAATTATTGTGAATATTGTCAGATCCCTGTTTTGCACGTTTACTTTTAGAATACTAAGATCTGAGCATGAGAAATCAGAGGAATCTCAAGGTTGTTGAAATGATTTGAAAGACAAGGGCAAACTCACAGCTGAAACTAAGCCTCCTGGATGTTTCTTCCACGAGACTCAAAATAATGTCATTTTTTATTCTGTTCCTCACCTTGATAGAGTTCAGAAACTAAAACATTACTTCCTGTGTGATATTTGCACACTGCCACTCAGAAATTCATAAATTACTGCCTTTATTGAATAACAGTGTGTGTAGTTCTGCAAGGATGCTGCCCGTTCCTCACGTTCAGCGTCCCAAATCTACATTATGCTTGTTGAAAGTAACAGAACATTGTCTCCAAGTAAAATTTCATTGCATTTTTTCATGGATAATGCAAAAAAGCAGTAATCAAAGAGGAAAACAGGTTAATTTTATGCCAATCATGAAACCTGGTGACAGGTGCCACCATATGTTGCGACAAGATCTCTCGGCCATGGGTCATTGCTTTGAAAGGAACTAACGAATGCTTGCAGTACTGTGACACACCGAAAGGCCCCCTGGGATCCCATGAAAGATCTCATGACAGGTATGAAATTAACTCATGGCATCACGGTATTTTCCAAACATGACAGCTCCCAGATCGGTTGCCACTTAGCGCAGTGGGAATTGTGGGAAGAGCGACGACATCTAGTAAATTATTTCAGTGGGATTTCCTATGGGCCATAACGAAAACCATTTCCCAAAGAGAATGTCTAGAAAGGTTAAAATCACAGAAGGGAGTGGTTAAACAAATAGATATTAAGCAAAATAATTCTGTTTCAGATTTTCTATCATCTTGATTTGCTTCCTGACCTAATTTCCATAGAGCAGATGAATAAAGTATTCAGCATTATATTTTGAAAAGCTCTTTATTCTTCCTTCAACCGGAACAAGAGTTTCAGTCACAAGTTGAGGAAGTACTGGGCACCAGGCTTCCTTCCAACTCACATGCACGGGCCCATGTATAGACTCCACGTCTCTGCCTAGAGAAAGAAAATGCAAATACCCAAACTCTAAGTTTATCACTCCAGGACAGGCATGGATGTAAAGTCTGTAAGCTCTAACAGCAAAACTGCTTGTTATAGAAAAGAAGTTAAAGAGCCAAGCACACATTTGCATCACCTAATAAATGTGTCACAGTCTTACTGATTTCTGAGTTAACTGTCTTTCTTACATCAATTCCAAATGGTATGTCAAAGATAAAAGGAATAAATGGGAAAACAGGAAAAAAGGAGAACAAGTAAATTTAATATTTGGAAATAAAGTCACATAGACAATGTATTTATTTTCTTTGAATTTCTAATATAAAAATAATGTAAGTTCTTTTTCTTTTTTAGGTTTTTGCCATAGGGCATGTACAGCCACTGGAGAGAGACAGAGAAAGGGAAAGTAAGAAATCACCCCACCCCCTCCAGGAGGGGACGGCCACACTGCAGTCTCTTCTCCTCCAGTATCCTCTTTGTATTTGGGGCACACATGCACACACATCAGACATGATTTTCAAGTTGCCAGATCCAGAACTCAAATGGTGGTCGGCCATGTGGGAGCCCAGCACTTTAACCACCACACTACCTGCTCCCCTCAAAACAATGTTAAGTTCCTTAATACCACTTTTTCAGCACAGGGAAAAGTATAAGG